CACACTCACACACACACACACTCTCTCACTCTCACACACACACACACACACACACACACTCTCTCTCTCCTGTTGACTCTAGTCAATACTAGAACATCATCTGATCTGATCAGAGTTCGAAATGTACCGTTATAGTTTACATTCTTCAGTGCTTCATTCTAGTATGCATCTGAATTGCTGTTACTTCAGTGCCATTCTTAAACTATTACACTTTTTGTTAAAGGGTCATGAAACCCCCCCGTTTCAGCACTGGTTAGTTCTCACCACAGTTTTAAAAAACTGGTGCGTGGTGCGCTGTGAATCGGAGGGGGAAGAGTGGAGACAGATAACACACAGCTTAAGGTTCAGATCGTTTCATTTCACTCCCATCGAGTTAAAAACATAAATAAATGCACAGCCATTTGCACTCATATATGAATGCGCTGTTGCACCTCTAATAACTTTTAAGGCTTATTTTTGCGGTGTTTATAAGCCTTTTGATGGGTTGCGTCAAGGAGCTGTAAAAACCGGTTACACTCACGAAGTGAATCGCGTTTGTGCCGAACTCTTACAAAGCAAAAACAAACGCTCTCCTTCGATCCATGAACGCTTCTCTCAGTTAGTGTGCACGATCTCAGTCTGAAGCGTCTGTCATAGCAAATCAACACATGCTGTTGTGAATAATTAAGCGAAGCGTCTTCTCATAGGATAAGAACACGCAGTCTCATTAATAATTATGAGACACTGACACGTCATCGAAATACTATAGTCCTTTGCCACTGTGACATCAACACGATGTAGATTTTAAACCCGGAAGACAAAAATAGCGCCAAAAACCTTAAAAATTAACCCGTTTTCTCCAACAGTTAATATTAACGGATGCTAACATTGTCTACTATGATGTGCAACACAAACACCTCTGCTAAAATCTCAGAAAAAGTGGTCTGGGGTTTCATGACCCTTTAATATTCTGAATTAGGTTTTAATTTTATGTTTCCTGTTTTCGTTTTCATTTTAACGTTTTCTTTTAAATCTGAACATGCACTATGTCAAAAGAAAGAAGAAAAAAAACATGTTTGATTAGTAATATGCATGGCTAAGAACTTCATTTGAACAACTTTAAAGATGATTTTCTCAATATTTAGATTTTTTTGCACCCTCAGATTCCAGATTTTCAAATATTGTCCGATCCTAACAAACCATACATCAATGGAAAGCATTTATTCAGCTTCCAGATGATGTATAAATCTAAATTTAAATAAACTGACCCTTATGACTGGTTTTGTGCTCGAGGGTCACACATGATTCTTAGAGTGTAGTAAGTGTGTTGCTAGGGTGTCCTGGGTGGTTGTTAGGTAGTGTCAGTTGAGTCGGTCTCTGTTTATCTCTCTCTCAGTCTCTCGCTCATATTTTCCGTGTTTCGGAGCATGTTTTCCTCGTCTGAGTCAGTGCGCAGGAATCCTGAGGCGCCTCATGTTCTCGCGAGCTGAACGCTGGAAGATATTCGGCCCAGATTCCTGAGCGCTGATCAGTGGCTAACGAAACGGCCCATTAGAGCCGCTTAACCCATTTAATCCCACAATAGTGACCGTAAAAAAGGTTGTCATTTATAAAGCTCTAAAAACATTACTGACTGATGTTTTAGTGCACTCCCTGCAAATATAGAAAAATAAAGGGTCTCAATTAAATATTTGCAGTTTCACACGGTTAGTGCAGATTGTTACATGATCAAAGCAGTTTACTTACTGTTTGCACCTTGAGAAGAGAAAGCTCTTAAACAAAAGGCTAGTAAAGTATGTTAACATAAAGACATGACAAAGATTTTTGGTCCACGTTATCGTTGAGGTGTCTAGTATTAATATATGAATTCACATATATTCAGTTTTGTTGAGTGTGGTCACAGACTGAGTAAACATGTATTTAAGTATACATATAAATCCAATTGCAGTTCTTAGTGAAAGCTGCACTAAAATGTTTGCACTAAATTAAAAGTTCAAATGTAACAAATAAGTTACAATATTGTTGTAGCAGCACTGGTAGCACTAATATAACAATTTGACGATATATGTTACAAAAAAGTAACAATTTTGAAATAGGTTGATGGTTGTATTTTTTGTATTTTATCTCAGTTTTCCTATTAGTGTTGTATAAGTTTTTTTTAATGCATAATAGTAACCCTAGAATGTGATCAAATGGTTTAAAATAGCTGGACTAAGATATATAACAATTTTTATGACTGCAGAAATATGTTAATTCAGTACACGCACAATTGTGACCGACCATAAAATAAAGCAATAAGCCCCGTGAAGCTGTTATAAATTCACTAAACCACAGCTTCTTGGGCTTATTGCTTTTATAAAACGGTTATTCCATATACGTAGTAAGGTTTCACAAAGTAAAACAGAGCAAATAAAGTGTAATGATATTAATAAAAACAGTATTCTTCCACCAAACAATGTAGCTCCTCAGAAACAGTTGTGGTTGCTACAAAGTGGTTGCCGAGCAACAGACAAACGTAAACAAAGGTGTATGTTACTTTGTAGAGTCATTTACAACAGCTTCGAACGCGGCTCAGCCAATCAGAATCAAGCACCGGAACTATCTGTTTTATAACACAATTTTTCACACACTTTTCCAAAAAAAAAAAGCATAATAATAATTATTGATTATTTCAAAGGGTTACTAATGACACATCATTTGGATATTTTCATGTCTGGGAAAAATCTGGGATTAAACGCAGTTAAAAGCAGTTGAAGCGGCGGTCTGAATCCTCTGGCCCGTTCGGATTCGCTGCTTGTTGAGTTTTTATTTCTAATTTCTTTCACATTTTCATCCTGAAAGCGTCTTGCGCACATCTGCAGCCGTTTGTTTCTCTGTGTATTTTTACTGGTGATGATTTTAATGTCTGTCATTTATAAACGTCCAGACGCGAGCTTCATTTAAAGTGATGTTTTCCAGGCATGATGGGACTGATGTGTGATGGTAACGAACTGAAGATCGTTTATTTGAGTTGTGTTGGATTGTGGGAGAGCCGCATCAGTGATTGATGAGTGTGTGAAGGTCATCACGTGTGTTTTAATTGGCCGTCGGCACGTGTGTAAATAAGAGTGACATCATCAGTGGGCATCAGTGTCAGGGGTGGGGCTAAGTGTTCGAGGTCAGGGGTCAGCACACACACACACACACACACACACATACACACACACTCACACTCACACACACACACACTCTCACACACACTCACACTCACACACACACACACACACACACCCCCCGTGACAGAGTATTCCAGTGTTTCAGGATCAGTGAAGGTGATTTTTATGTCTCTGGTTTGTTAAAAATGCATCTGCAGCATTTGTGACGATCCAACTCAATAAAGTTGTACTGAAGTGTGTCTGAAACACCAATAGAAACAGAATAGAAGTGCATTTAAATGATGGGATTCCCAATCTTTTTGTCAGCTGAATCCTGATTGAGATTTTAAAGGTCCCATATTGTCAAAACTGAAACTTCCTGGCTTTTTTCACGATAACTGCGGTCTAGGGGCTATGTAACTATCATATAATTTTCAAAACAGTCAGTCCACAGTAAAATGCGCACAGCCTGCATAAAGTAGCTGTGATTTTTCACGAACCGTTGTGACTTCCGTAAAAAGGTGATGTCAGAACTACACAGTCACTACCTTCAGTCACCACCCCGAGCACCGCCCACCGCCCCACTCTCCTTTTGCCAAACCTCAGACAACATCGCGTCCATGCCATTGCTGAGCAACAACAACACGGAAACATGCCGAGAAAACGCTGTTCAGTCTGGATGTTAGGAAACTACATCATTGCACAGTAGGGCTGTGACGGTCGCCGTGACAACCACGTCAACCGTAGTGCACGTGACGTCACACACTCTATAACAAGCATAATACAAAGTGTTGTATTACAAGTGTAATAATAGCAACAGTTGCAAATTGTTTAAGAATTCACAAATTACCTCAAACGCCATACATAAACGCAGTGACCATGTGTTTCTATTGACCTTACTTGTGAGTATCACCAATCCACAGCAGGCTACAGCATACATGACCCTAGTTACCTGTGGTTGGCCTGGCCGTGCGTCACTCAGAAAACAACAGGCCAATCAGAAGAGAGGCTCATGAATATTAATTAGACAGGCCAAAATCGACCTGTTCTCAGCAGAGCTCCTGAGAGAGGAGCTGTAAAAATATATTGAGATGGTTTTTAGTACTTATACCACAAATATATATTCTTAAGGACATCAAAACCTAAAATAAAACTCCAGAAAGGTGTAAAATATGTGATCTTGTAAAGTTAATATTTCGGTAATTCAACAACACATTTGCATGTTTCTGGTTCCTTGATGATTTTTGTAGTTTAATTGTGACAGTTATAGTTTTTTGTTTATGTTTTGAATTAGTTTTAATTTTGATCTTTTTCATTGTCATATATTAATTTTAGTTACATTCTGTAGTAATTTTTTTGTGTTTTTGTCATTTTTATTAGTTTTTTTTTTAAGTGATACAGACACTTTAAAATAATTTTAAAATAGGTTTTTATAAATGTTTATTTCAGTTTTAGTTTGAGCTGTTTTGGTACATCAAGTTAAACTAAAAGAAAATGAAAAATTTATTTGAGTTTATTCAAATGTATTTTATTTCATGTAACTAAAATATTTAAAAAAAAAGTTTTAATTTGATTTATTTCAAAATCACTTATATTTGACATTTTTATGATTTAATTAATAGTTAGTTTTGTATTTTGATTTTGATTTTAAAATAATTTATTTAAAATTTAAACTGGATTTAATTATTATTTTTATTATTATTTTAATTAATGTATTTTAATTTAGCATTTTTATGAATTAATGGTGTTTAGCAAGTGTTTTAAAAATTGTTTTTACTTTAAAATAATTAATTTTAAATTTACACGTTTATGAATTAATTTTCAGTGTTTTATTAATTTTTAAGTCTGTCATGTGCTGTGCATTTATTCTGTTTCACATGTTCAGTGATTTATATGTGTGCCCTGCTGTAGAGAAACATTTGTCATGTAGCTTCATTCTCTTTCAGCACTTCATGTGTTTGTGTGTTAATTCTGTATAATTTGACTGACGCCATAATGACGTAAGCTTGTTAATCTGAGCACGGTTCCCATCAGGCCAGTTAAGTGGTTTATTTTGGAGTAAACACCGAAGCACTCAATTATTTCCTCCTGGTTTTATCGCTGTTAGCTGTATGTGTGCTGTGCATATTTTGCGGATTAGATTTGCTCTAATAAAAGCGCAGGCAGACGGAGAGGTCGCTCCGCTCCGGTTATTTGAGGACAGACGGAGAGCTGCAGTCTAATGAGACTCGATGAAGGAACAGAATGTGAAGGGCTCACAGCTGAACTTCATCAGACACGTTCAGTGACACGCTCGTTAAACATCTCATTAGACGGACACTGACCGCTCGCGGGATCCTGGGATTAAGCAGACGCAATTATTTCAGGCCCTGCAACAGGAAATGATGTCACGTGTCCATCACAATAGAGCGCAAAGTAAAAACTTTATTCATTTTCTCCACTGTGAAATAAAGCAATAAGCCCCAAGAACTCCGCTTCGTGTCGTACCTAACAACACCCCTTAGCTGTTATAATTTCACTGTAAACCACGGCTTCACGGGGCTTACTGCTTTTATAAAACGGTTATTCCATATACGTAGTAAGGTTTCACAAAATAAAACGGAGCAAATAAAGTGTAATGATAATAAAAACAGTATTCTTCCACCAAACAATGTAGCTCCTCAGAAACAGTTGTGGTTGCTACAAAGTGGTTGCCGAGCAACAGACAAACGTAAACAAAGGTGTATGTTACTTTGTAGAGTCATTTACAACAGCTTCGAACGCGGCTCAGCCAATCAGAATCAAGGACCGGAACTATCCGTTTTATAATTGATTTTTAATAACTTATAAACCTTTAAAGACGAACCTGCACAGAGGTTGTTAATCAATGGCATTTGCTTTTGTTGAAGCCATTCGTTCGCAACTTATTTTTAACAGCACAATTTGTGGTGAAAACTATATTACCCATGATTCTGTGCAGAATATTCCACCAATCAGAGTGATGACAAACAAATCATGGCAAAAGTAAAAAATACAAAATATATATTTGTAAAAAAATACAAAAATATGTGTATATATATATATATACTTTACAGTAAGGTCCCATTAGTTAACATTAGTTAATGCATGAACTATCATTAACTAACAATGTGCAATACATTTGTTAGAGTATTTATTAATCTTTGTTAACATTAGTTCGATACAACTGTTCATGCAAGTTTTTATTTTAATAGTGTATTAGTAAATGATGAAATTAACATGAACTAATATTAATAAATGCTTTAGAAGTTGTTTTCATTGTTAGTTCATGTTAACAAATGGAACCTTATTGTAAAGTGTTACCAAAATATTTATACATAGTTTGCAAAAATCTTAAAATATATTTCGATAGATACGATCAATAACTTTACATTAATATTTCAATATCTGAATATAGTTTTTAACTCCATTAAGTCATTTGCAATTCTTCACGGGATTGTAATTTTTTCCCCTCATTAAAGCGGTTAAGTATTTCCAAATACTTTTTTGCATCAAATCAAAGTTTATAACGAACTTTGATTCGAGTTTTGTTGGTTTAGTTCATGGATTCTAACTTTTGAATTAAGGCTTTTAAAGAAATCTTTATGTAAATGTGTGTGTGTGTGATTTAGATATTAACGAGTGTGAGATCGGCGCTCATAACTGCGACCGACACGCGAGCTGTACGAACACCGCCGGCAGCTTCAGATGCAGCTGCGCTCCGGGCTGGATCGGGAACGGGATCAGATGCACAGGTACGAACTCTCGCTCTCTCACTCGTGACCTGCTGTGTTTGGACTGATGTTGGTCAGGTGTGCAGCAGAGCTGTTTCCTGTTTCCTGTTTCAGATCTGGACGAGTGTTCTAACGGGAAGCACCTGTGCAGCCCCAGCGCAGACTGCATGAACACCATGGGCTCCTACCGCTGCCTGTGCAAAGAGGGATTCACTGGAGACGGCTTCTACTGCGTCGGTACGGACTCACACACACACACACACACACACACACACACACACGACGTGATGCCGCTGTTAATGCATGTGTGTGTCCTGTAGACACGGATGAGTGTGCGGAGAACGTGAATCTGTGTGAGAACGGACACTGTCTGAACGTCGCGGGTGGATACCGCTGTGAGTGTGACATGGGCTTCATCCCCACCGCAGACAGGAAAGCCTGTGAAGGTGAGACACTCCTCCTGACTTGTCTGTCTGTCTGTCTTACCTGTCTGTCTTTCCTGTCTATCTTACCTGTCTTACTTGTCTGTCTGTCCATCTGTCTGTCTGTTTGTCTGTCTGTCCATCTGCCTTGCTGTCTGTCTGTCTGTCCGTCTGTCTGTCTGACTTACCTGTCTGTGTCTGTCTGTCTGACTTACCTGTCTGTGTCTGTCTGTCTGACTTACCTGTCTGTCTTACCTGTATGTCTGTCTGTCTGTTTTACCTGTCTGTCTGTCTGTCTGTCTGTCTGTCCGTCTTACCTGTTTGTTTGTCTGTCTGTCTTACCTGTCTGTCTGTTTGTCTGTCTGTCTGACTGTCTTACCTGTCTGTCTGTTTGTCTGTCTTACCTGTCTATCTGTCTGTCTGTCTTGCCTGTCTGTCTGTTTGTCTTTCTGACTGTCTGTCTTACCTGTCTGTCTGTCTGTCTTATCTTCTGTGTCTATCTGTCTGTCTGTCTGTCTGTCTGTCTTTCCTGTCTGTCTGTCTGTCTGTCTGTCTGTCTGTCTTACCTGTCTGTCTGTCTGTTTGTCTGTCTGTCTTACCTGTCTGTCTGTCTGTCTGACTGTCTGTCTTACCTGTCTGTCTGTCTTACCTGTTTGTCTGTCTTTCCTGTCTGTCTGTCTGTTTGTCTGTCTGTCTGTCTTACCTGTCTGTCTGTCGGTTTGTCTGTCTTACCTGTCTGTCTGTCTTACCTGTCTGTCTGTTTGTCTTTCTGACTGTCTGTCTGTCTTACCTGTCTGTCTGTCTGTTTGTCTGTCTGTCT